AGAGAAATAACCAGAGGCATTTGGATGACTGCATAGCAGAGAGAGAAAGATGTAGAATGAACATGACCAGGAGATTAGACAAGGCCAAGAGCATCTTTAACAAAAGGTTGTGGGGATAGCAAGGGCATAGTGAGATTAGCAAGGGCAGAAACAGGAGCCAGAAATTAAAAAAAAAAAAAAAAAAAAAAAAAAAAAGCTGGCTTATAAGAAGCGCGAGTAGCTGGAGGTAGAAAAGGACCAGGTTGTTGGTGTGTGGGTTTTGAAATGTATGACATGTACTTGTTAATAGTGACTAGAGGCTGGAATGAACTTAGATATGATAATAAGAACCAAAGGTATATACTAGTTGAAAAGCCATGTGTTCCTTTTTGCTGTAGGTAAGGAAGATGACTACTTTTGGTGGGAACCGGCTTCACAAGTTCCCAAGGGATGCTGGCTTTTTTATCTAACCACCAGAAATCCTTCCCTAGGCCTGGTAAAGCTCATTTCTGGATGTTTGGACTACCTTGGAGTTCAGAGGATTCGAGTACCTTTTGGCCTTGCCAGTTTGATCCCATAATGTACTCTAGTTCTTCAAAAGACCTGCACCTTTGTTGTTATACAACAACGAACTACAACGACTGAAAAACAGCCAGGCATACCTTCCATTTTTATGTATGATAGTAGCAACACTGGCCGTAAGATTTAGAAAATTTGCCCATATACTATAAGTAGGATAGAAAAAATAAATAGAATGTGGAAGATTAGACAAAAGAGGACCATTAAAAAAAAAAAAATGAAGTGATCCTATAAGAAAGCAGACCCTGAGGAAGTCATAATAGATCTGTGAAGATTGAATTTGTGGACCTTGGAAACTATACACTGAAATATGAAATAAAATGAAAAATAATGCCAGTTGTTTTGCTTTACAATTTTAAAGTTTTGCCTGAATTTATTTTTTTTTTAATTTATGTATTTAGATGATACAGAAGAAGGAGAAATTGTAGGGAGACATGCTGGACAAAATGTTAATTAACCTTGTCCTCCTGTATAGTGTCTTCACACATGAATTTCTAGTGATACATAAGCAAGAACTTATGAAAAGTCACAATTTATTTATTTATTTATTTTTATATAACCAAGTCCATTTAAATGAAAACAAACATTTATAGACAAGATTTGGGAGTTTGGGCGTCCTTCTTTCCAAACTACTTCCTGCTGGTAAGGGGCGCTGTCATGGGGGATTCGAAGAAGATGCTGAAATCCCGGCTGTAGTTTGTAAGGCTGCTTTGTCCAGCTGTTTTGCATGTAGGATCACCTGGTACTCTGTTTCAGGCGGTCTGGCTTGATCGAACCACATTAGTGTGGAAGGAATCCACATCTTTTCATTTTCTGTGGAAACAAAATCCTTTCCCCCAGTAACTTGTCCTCGAACTCTTAATCGCACTAGGAAACCACTCGCTTACCACTGAGTCAATAAAAGAAAAAAAGATAACACCTGAATTTTAGTTAAAGAGAAATAATTGAGGGTTTATAAAGTAACTTTTTTGGGGGGGGCAGGCAAATTCCCAGAGTGCAAAGAAATGAATCCATAGCCTTTTATCAAATGTGTGATAAGGGAGACATAGAAATAGAGTTGACCACAAGTGAGTTTGTAAATCAGAAAATGATAATGTCTAATCACAGGGTTTGCTTCCCATTCTGAGTTGGAAATTAAGTCAACTGGCAAAAGGATTCTAATATAAGGTCCAATGAGGTGGATGGAGTTAGGGTAATTCCCCAAATGGGCATCAGTACACAGTAGTCCAGCAGGCAGGCAGGGTGCTGGAGAAATATTCAAGCGTCCTACATCCTGTAGGCAACAATAACTGTTAACTATCACTCACACCGAGGGAAGCTTGAAAAAAAAGAGCTCCAAACCTGCCCCCACAGTGACACACACTTCAATAGAGGAGGCCCAGACTCAAGGTGTGCCCCCCAGCCTCTCAGTCTGGACTACAGGCACGTGCCATCCAGCCTCCTGCGAAACTACACTTCTTCCAGCAAGGCCACGCTGCCTAATCGTGTCACTTCCTGTGAGTTTATTGAATGGGCCAAATAAATTCAAACTGCCATGCAGCTGTTGGACTCACTTGGTTGTCTCAGTTTGCTCAGGAAGCAAGTCGACACTCCCTAGAGTTGCAAGGAGTGGAAACAGAGGGAAGGCCTTTGTTCTCTTTCCTGTTGCTTTTCATAGCCAGACAGGAGGTGTCTTTTTTGTAATACCCACTGCTCTGCCTACTCGGAAGAGCTCCAAACTACACTGGACCTTGCACGGGAACTCAGTTCACATTAGCTGTACATGGGATGTGTCTTTCCCATGGGAACGGGCCAAGCAACATTTAGGAGAAAACTAACTTGTGTCTGTGGAACAAAAAAAAATTGTACTAGGATAGGAGCCACACCCTTGCACTATGCATGCTAAGCAGCACTCCACCTCTTTAATCCTTTTTTATTTTGAGGCAGGGAGTGAATAAGTTGTTTTCAACTAATGACCCTCTCTTCCCAGCCTACCAAGGGGTGGGGATTTACAAGCTTTTGTTACTATATAGCTCTTGAGCCAGAGTTTTACTACATTGCCAAGGTTGACCCTGAATTTCTGGCCTCAAACAATCCTCCCGCCTTACTTAGTCTCCAACTGGACTACAGGCTCCAACCTAAGTCTCCCAACTTCAAATCCTAGATCTCAGAATGTCAGTGCCAGGAGAGGAGTCAGAAGCAATGGTTACTCAAACCCCTTCTATGACGAAGAACAACACTGAAATCACAGACTGTCCCATCCTTCCCTTTAGGTCTAGCACCTGGGACTGATAGCTCAAAATGGCTCCACTCTGGGGCTGTGGAGATAGATGGCTCAGGGGTTAAAAACACTGATCCTCTTAAAGAGGAACCACTTTTGGTTCCCAGCATCTAGAGAGAGGTTCACCACCACATCTGCTACGCTCTTCTGGCCTCTCTACATGTGTGGATGCATGTAAGTATAGAGAAGCAAACACGCACAAAATAAGGACAAATCTTTAAAAAAATGAATGAATGAATGAGTAGAGGAGCCTCTCATCCGAGCGGGAATGTCAAGTCTGTCTGTATCTGTGATCTGAATGTATGTGTTTAACGGTCCCTGTACGCGGGCAGAGCATGAGGACAACTCCCCTTTCCTCCCTTCAAGGGTGACCATGTGGCAAGAAAAACTAGCAACTGCTAATAACACACGCTGTGTCTTTCTTATTGAGCATAGCTATTGCTGCGCCTATCAATTTTGCTTATGGAGACGCAAAACCCAGTCAATGCCCAATATGGGATGGTTAATATGACAAGGGGCAAACTGCTCAAGAGTATTGTAAACATATCGCCCCCCTTTAAAGCTCAGGGGACAACACTGAAGGAGGGCAAGGAGAAATGCTGAGTCCAAAGGAGAGGGCTGACGTCATGACCAGCAATCATATCACAGAACGCAGCGATGACTTTAGCTCCATAGAGTTATGGCAACCTGAAGTCTAGGGTAACGGGAATCGTGCCATTGACACTTTGATACAAGAGGTGGAGTCAACTGACCCTTACCTAGGATATTACATACCTTTTCTTTTCCGCTTGCCCCACAGCTCTAAGAGATCTGTGCAAAGGGGGTGGTATTGTTTGAATATACACAAGGCAGAAGTGGAACTCGATAAAATAGCTTTCACTCATGATGGGGTGGGTCTGGGCAGTGATGTAGCTCTTTTGGGTCATCTACACAACTGTTAATTCCTTACTTGTTTGGAACCATGACTTTGGTCAATTGTCACTAAAGATTTGTTCACATCTCCCCATGAAAAAAAATATGCAAAAATTAATGACACATACGGCCTTTCGACTTATATGAAATACAAAAGAAAACAAAAAAAAAAAAAAAAAAAAAGAAAAAGCCAACACCATCTACTGAAAACCAATCAGAAGGCTGAGGGTTTTGATTGGTAGAGTGCTTGCCCAGCACACCCAAAGTCCTGAATCACCTAAAATAAACAATAGTGTTGTAAGTCAGCGTGTTAGCATCTGGGAGGTAGGGGTGGGAGGATCGGAAGCTCACGGACATTAAGGACTCCACGGTTTTTAAACCAGCAGAGGTACACATTATTACTGTGGTCTTCATAAATAGAAAAGGTTGGGGGAGGGAGGGGGCAGGATGTTTGAAGAGAGGAAGAGAATGATTAGCACACTAACAGTGAAAGACATGCTTTTTCTTATTAATCATTTATGTCCAATCCTGGCTCTGAATAATTTCTGCTTCAAGACCTATAAGGTGTTATTTAGATGTTATTTGATGACATTTCAATATAAAAATGTATCCCATCCAAGCTAGGTATGGTGGCAATGTTTAAATCCCAGCACTCAGGAGGCAGAAGCAGGTGGGTCAATATGAGCCCGAGGCCAGCTTGGTCTATACAATGAGTCCCTGGTTAGAAATGGCTGGGTAGGGTCCTATCTCGAACAAGCAGAGGAACACTGTACCCATGACATCTACTGCACGCATGCTTGTTTTGTCCTCACCGCTTGCATCTCCGTTCTCCTCCATTTTCAATGCTAACGCGTATTTACAAGAAAAAGTACTAGCAGACAATATGGGAGAGCTGTGCGTGTCAGAAAGCACCACTTTTCTAGATGAGACATCTCCAATTATGTTTCTTTCTTTTTTGTGAGGGAGGCCAGGAGGAACGCTGGGTATTGAACCTGGGGTATGGGCACTCCTGGGCATGTTGGTTGGGCTAACGCTCTACCACTGAGTTACAGCTATGGCCATCTTGTATGCTTTTCTGGCTTTCTTGCAAAGAAACGCTTTCTATCCAAGGTATGTAGTTAATTAGAAGTAAATACACAGTTTACACAAGTGCAAGCAAGTACATATTACAAGAATATACAGCCATGAAGCAAATGAAGTCAACTACATAAGCAGCATGATTCTTCTTAGGACATGTTCAAAATACAATGTATTTTGTGAGATACTGATTTCATCGTACCGAGTAATGAAATATGCCAAAACCCCCTTTGCCATTTCGCTTAAACTGGTTTCCCGTAATTTCAACAAACATCTCCTCTGACGTTATGTTGCCCTCAGCTTCTATGATCCCAGGTTTGCTCAATCTTTTCTTCACCTGGCCTTTTTTCGTGGAAGTAGGAAGCAGTTCGGTTATAGTTTCACAGTTTCCCTTAGCTTGTTCAGAAATGTCATCTGTGGCAGAAAGCTCCATTTTGTTAGCAACACCCTGAAGCCTTTCTTCCAAATCTAATCCTTCTTCAGTGGCATCCACCTCTCTATTTTCCTGGATTGTATTATTGTCTGTGGAAACAAATTATAATAAAGTTAAATATACAGTCTAAACCAACAGAAGGGCATTTCTGACACAATCTATTAGACTCAAGTATTTTCTACCAAGAGTTTATAACAGGATTTTACCAATTCTTTACTATAAGACTCTCTCAGTGAATCTTCTTGCAAAGTTTCCTGACACTAACAGGGTCACCAACTTTAAACTCCATTGACCTTCTTCAACCTAGAACCTCAGTCACTGGACAGACATTCCTGGACATTTACTATCTGCTACGCTCTGCACTGGGAGCTAGTATGCACAGAATAATATAACAGAGCTACTTTTCTTATAAACAACTACCAAACTACTAACTAATTGACTGTCCTCATGGTTCCCATCCTCAAGAGGGTACCTTCATCATTGTTAAATGACAATAAAAAATTTGCATTATCAGAAAGCAATGCAATTACGACTATTTATTTATTTTTTTTTCTTTCCTAGCTCAGTTGATGAAAAGGAACTCAGAAATGGGAATTAGTTTCTTCCACCGAGCTTTCCAGTAAGATTCTCTTCAACAGACATCTCAATTTTACCTTGCTGCATCCTGAGTGGAATGGACTCCTAATGATAAGGAGGCCTAGTCTTTAAACTGCCCATGATTTCCATCACCACACCAATGCTTTTAAAGTTCTTTATGTCACATATTTAAAAATGACTTCTATGAATGGCTTAAAAATCACAAATTTCTATTGTGTGCTCTCAACTTTACTGTCATTAAAGGTGGTGACGAGGAGGCAGTTACTTTCACCCATAAAATTCTTTTCAATCTTTCACAAATACCTACAGAAACCACTATGTTTTTTCTTTTCTTTTCTTTTTTTTTTTAAACACACTTACAAGAAGACAAGTGAAATCTGAAAGCTTCTTCTTTCAAGTTTAGACTCTACAATGGCATCACCGAACTTCTGTATCTTAATGACCAAGCATATTCAATATGTTTTTGTTGTTGTCTTGTTTTGAAAAGTAATCTCTGACTCTCCGTAGCTAGGTATGACCTTGTGGTCTGATCTTCCTTCCCAAGTGTTGGGACTAGGCCTGCACTTTTGTGCACGTTAGGCAAGCACTCTCAAGTCGAACTAAAGTGCCAGACTTCCAGCAACAATTTTTAAGGAAGCAGAAAAACTAAAGTTGTCACCAGAATTTATTGCTGAAATACTGTAAATTAGATGTAATTTTGTATTCAATAAATAAGTACATTTAAATATTTTAATTAAATTATTAAATATAGCATACCACTAAGTTCATCTTTGGCATTTTCCTGTAGGTTGCAGACATCTGTAGGCTTCACCAAAACAACTCCATAACCTTCATTGTTATGTATGATGTTATTTATCATAGAAATTTTGGGAATAACGCAATACTCATCAAGGAAGTCCTGTGACATTGAAAACAGTTGTGTTAAGGAATTATCATTTTACGCAAGTTTCATAAATTCTCTACCTTTTCCACACTACTCAAAAAATGGAAGTACAAAAGCTATGTTAGCAACTCATAGCAGTGAGTTCAAAGTGTTGCTGTCATTTATGCAGATTTAAAGACAACAAAATATTACTGGAAAATCCTGGAACTCACTCTGTAGAGCAGGCTGGCTTGAACTCAGAGATCCATTCCGCCCTGCTTCCCTAGTGCTCGGATTAAAGGTGTCATCCACCAACTACCCAGCTACCAGATGATCTTTAATCACTATTAGTGTTCATAAAATATATGTAATATTTATACTTTACCAAACAAAATAACAGAACACAGCATGAGAAATAAACAAGTTTTTAAGGCAAAAATCATTGTAAATTTTAGATAAAAAAAAAAATGTTTCCGCCATTAATACCCACCTTAACGAGAATCCCTTCCTTGCAGTGATGGATCTCGTTGTCAGTCAGTGTACACTTACTCCCAGGATATATTTCTATACCGGCCCCCTATAGAAAATCAAGAGTAGGGGCTATTGAGATGGCTGCTCTTCCAGAGTATACAGAGGGTTAGTTAGTTCCTTGCACCGGTATGGTGGCTCACGTAACACAAGCAATAAAAACCCAGAAACAGATATTGGGGTTCAAGCTGAAAAGATCAGAGAAGCAAAGCTGCCCGCCACTACCGATTTCTCACCTCTACCAATACTCAGATTGAAGTTGAAGGGGTGATGATGACATGCTCTGATTGCATCTCTCCACCAGAATCCTAGACTGCTGCCTCTTCTATGTTGCTGGAGATAAATTTGTCTAAAACTGACTGCTTCTCTTCCTTATCTACCTCTCTCCACCCAGCCATATCACTCATGTTTCTATTGCCCTAGTGCTAGAATTAAAAGCATGGATTCCCAAGTGCCAAGATCACCTTTGTGTGAGCAGATCCATCTGCCTCTGTCTCCGGAGTCCTGGGATTAAAGGTATCTACCACCACTGCCTGACCTCAATGGCTTTGTGGCTAGCTTTGCATTCTAAACCCCCAGGAAAACTTTATTAAATCATAAATAATAATCTTTAAGTCCAGTTTGACGGATCAGACACCCTCTTCTGGCCTCCAGAAGGTATGTCTGAGCACCAGGATTACATGTGATGCACAGACATACAAGCAGGCAAAACAGTCAAATACATGCAAATAAAATAAATATTTAAAAAGACACGATTATATAAAGGTTTACTACTATAACTTCTTAGCTTTTCAGACAAGTAAAACACAAATTATACTTTTTTTTTTTTCCCCCTGAGACAGGCTTCTCTAACAGTTCTGGCTGTCCTAGAACTTGCTTTATAGACCAGGATGGCCTGGAACTCACAGAGATCCACCTCCCTCTGCCTACCAAGGGCTGGGATCAAAGGCGTGCGCCACCACCACCCTACAAAAAAAATACACTGTTTCAAAGATAACTTTTATTAGGTCTTCCTTTTACATGTCTTTATTGTGTGGGCCTACATAACTTCACTCACCCTCTGTCTGTGTGTACACACAAGCCATCGTGTTATTTGTGGAAATCAGAAGACAACTTGTAGGTGTTGGTTCTCCCCTTATATCATTTTGGTTCTCAGACCAAAACTCAGGCTTTCGTGTTTTAACAGCAAGCATCTAAACCACGGAGTCATTTTACTGGCCTCGAATAGGCAATCCTAATCCATATGGTTCCTTTACTAAAGTGCCTACAACGCAAGCATGAAATGTGTGGATCCCAAACACACGCATAAAAAGCCAGGCAGAACAGTGTGAACCTGAAACTCCAGTGCTGGGAGGACAGAAAGGAGGGCCACTGGATTTCATTGTCTCGACAAACTAACTGAGCTCCAGATAACGTGAGAGACTCTACTTTAAAAAAAAAAAAAAAAAAAAAAAAAAAAAATTACTTAAAAAGTCATTGAGGAAGATACTCAATGTCAACTTCTGTCTTATATATATGCACAAGTACACACACACACACATACACACCAGCATGCACATAAAATATATACACTTATAAAGATACACATTGCAAAAAGTACAAAGTGAAACACTTAATGCTTATTACCCATTTTCATTGTAAACATATCTATGCTGATGATATCAGTATATTTATTTAACAATTTTGTTGAAAGATGTAGTTATTTAAAACGATCACTATTTCAATAATTAGATGGAGATAAGCATTTAAATAGACAAGCCCAGGGAAGGGGTCTCATCCTCAGGGAAGCCATCACATGGCCCTAAAGCATGCTCATATAGGCAGCAATAAATGATGAACAGAGGGGTTTTAAAACAGAGAGCCAATGAGGTTGGGAGGAAAAGTGCTAGAGAGGTAGGGGAGGAACTGGAGAGAGAAAAGGAGGTGCATATGTGTATGCATGCATGCATGCATGAAATTCTCAAGCACTTAAAGCAACAGCTCCAATTGTTAGAAAGAAATATTTAGGAAGTTATGATCACTTAAAAATATTCTAAAAATTATTTATGTGTACTATGTGTACGTCTGTGTAGAAATGTGCACAGGTGATTACAGAGGCCAGAGTCCACAAAAAGGGCGTCAGATCCTCTGGAGTAGGAGTTACAAACGGTCCATAGTCTGCTGGCAAGGTCCTCTCCAAGAGCAGTATGTATAATGCTATGCTCTTAAGCACTGAGCCACCTCTCCAGTCCCACCAGGGAATAATCTTAAGGGTCTATACTTCTTAAGGTTAATCTATCATAGGGAAAGACTATCATTTTCCCTCACAGTGCCTTGTTTATAAAATGCTACAGAGGTCTTATGTTTAACGACTACATAAATTTTAGATGACTCGGAGATTATTAATGTCTGAATTTTTCTTGAAAGAACAGATTTACATCTTGGTATCTTACTTGCTTATTATTTTGAACTAAACACCATAATTACTTTTTCCCAAAGAAAGACAAAGCAGTACCTTGGCACCATATACATCTGAGTTCTTCATGAAAAATTCTGCTGATGTGCGTACTGTGACTCCCGTAGTTTCACATTGCAGTACACAGTTCTCCAGTGTGGTCTTGCCGTGGCAAATCCCTGTTCACAAAAATATTCATTCAACTACTTTAAGCGATATATTAGTATCACAAACAAATTACAACTAACATTAGATGTTGTGATAACTATTTATAAAAATATCTCTCTTGAGACACAAAAGACAACTTTTTTTACTGCACTTTGCAGCCAAGTTAATGTGCGGAGATCATTTAAGACTATGTATGTACTTAACCTATACTGTCGGGTATTCAGCCTCTTTGAATTTAATCTGCTGTCTTAATCACTGTTCTATTGCTGTATCATGACCAAGGCAACTCCTTAGAGAAACTCATTTAACCAGGGGCTTGCTTAAGTTTTAGATGATCATGTGGGAAGCATGGTGGTGGTTGGGGGCCATAGTGGTAGACAAGGAGCTGAGAGTTTCACATCCTGATCATCAGGCAGAAAGCAGGCAAAGAGTGAGACTCAGTCTGACGTGGAGGACCTTAACGTCCACTGCCAATAACACACCTTCTCCCAAGATAATGTAGAGCTTTAAGTTATGTACTAGTTCATGTCTCTGACCATACAATATATTTGTTTATATACATGTTTTAGGCAACAATTGGCTGAAGGCAGCCAACAACTTGACAGCAATCTTAAAACAAAATCTACCAAAAGTTTTTCATGCAACATGTGAATAAAAGTAGTTCAGACTATAGGCAGTGATAGCACATAAGAATGTTTCTTACAACACCATGGTCTCTTAGGAGGTCCAAATTCAAACAATTAGCCCACACCTTTTTCCTAGAGCCAAAAGGCTTCCTGCTGAGAAGAGTAAACTCACAATCACCCATGCTGTTGGCGATTTAGATTACTTTTCCCTACTCCTTTACATATGGAGAATTAACGATTTGCTTGTCCAGGGACCACTCTTAATAAAATAATCAAGCACATGTCTCATGAGATCAAGAAAGAAAACCAGTAAGTAGAGGTCATTCAGGTGTAAGAATGACACGATTTTTATTCAATAAGTATTTCTATAGGAAGGATGTTCTCAGAGGGGGAAAGCTACAACTTTTATCAGGGTTATGATGAAGGTTAAGATGGCTGATATTTCCAAAACGGAACGGAAAAGTAGAACGTCCCTACATACTGTGGGGGTTTAGATCATACTCAGACAATGGGACATTTTCAGAGTAATATTTAAATTTTGTAACAAATTCAAATTACCAAGCAGTAGCTACTTTTGAGTTATTTTCTAAAGACTAAAAGCAATAAACAACTGGCTCAATGGGTAAAGCACTTGCTAACTATGACGACCTAAGTTTAAATGCCCAGAACTCAGACACAATAATGCACACAGGTAATCCTAGTGACCCTATAATGTGACGAGAGGGAGAGGTAGTAGACACAAGAGAATCCCCCAGAAGATCCCAGGCAAGCTAACCTGGCATAAACAGCAGTTAACAACAAAGAGACCCTGCCTCTAACAAGGTGGAAAATGATGACTGACACACAAGGTTGTTTTCTGACTGTCGCCCCAGCCCCCAAAATGGTAGGTAGGCAGGCAGGTGCACGCGCATGCGCACGAATAACTTCAAGAAACAAACAATAAAAACTGTGTGTGTGTGTGTGTGTGTGTGTATATATGTATATATATATATAAAATATTTTTATTATTGCATCAATGAACACCTTTGCTGGGTACCCTGGAAATACAAGAAGAACCTTGAAAGCAGGTGGATACATAGCCTATAAAACAAATACTATAGCAATGTGTTGGACTTTTGGGTGTGTCTATAACAAAGTTTCTCACACAGGCCTCTGGTATCTGTACAGCATGTATCAGAACAGCATGGTATCTGATAAAATCTCCTCAGAAATGTTACAATGCAGAGAGGCATAAAGGAAAAAGAATCGAAGAATCACATGTACAAGGGGCACATGTTCTAGCAAGGAAGAAGAGTACAGAGGTATCATGTTCATTCTTATTATAAGCACATACTCTCAGGGGAACTGATCCGCTGCTCCATTCCTGAGGATAGAGTCCCAGGAATCTAATTACTTACTACTAGGAAAAATGCCCAAAGGGTTCCATCACTTTAACACTGTTATACTAGTAGTATTAGGTGTAGTGAAATATGCCTATCAAGTCAGGGATCAGGAGGCTGAGGCAAGATTGCCATTTGTCATGATGGCTAGGTTCAGAGTGATAGATAGCCCGTCTCAAAAACCAAACCAAACCACCACAACAAAAGACTAATTGAAAAGAAACAAGCTTTCAAGAATTAGCTGAGTAATTTTTCACTATGAGGGCTCATAAATGTGTTGCACCAGTGTTTACCAGCCATCCATATATTCAAGTGGTATTAAACTGCATCTCCCAAGAAAAGTCAACTTTTCTCTCAAACAAATAATACACCAGATACTTACTTAAGATTCCTTCCACAGAATCATGCTGAATAAATTTTATGCTTGAAATTTTAACTTCCATACCCGTGCAATCCAAAAAAGTATCTCCTTTGCCCTTCTTTTCTATGACAATATCATCTGGTAAACCATATCCTAAGAAAGAGATTAAAACACTTAAGTGAAGAGGATTGTCTACATACGGAAAGATTAAGATGATCTAAATGTCTAACAACCAATGAATGGACAATGAAAATCAAGCAGATATGCACAATGGAATTTCATACAGCCATAAGGGGATGAATGTACAAAACCTGCAGGAAAATTAATGGAATTGGTAAGTATTAAACCAAGCAACCTAGGCCCAGAAAGAGAAACCCATATTTTCTTTCTTGTCTACGTAGTTTCAAAATTCAGATTTTTTTGTTTTGTTTTTTTTACTTACAATGTAATTCTCTAGAGAGGCAAGAAGGAGGCCATGGACATGGACACAAGAAGCACTAAGGGAGGAGGTAGTAAACAAGGAACATGAAACTGAAGGACTAGGCTTGGGCAGGGCTATGGGGAGTATGGTGAAGATGGGGAAAGGAGAAAAAAAAACTAAGGAAGCATGAAAAAAACTATACAGAAACAGTACTTTATAAAGGAAAAAAAAACTTAAAAAGAATTTAAATTAGCCAGGCAGTGGTGGTACACACCTTTGATTCCAGCACTTGGGAGGCAGAGGCAGGAGGATCTCAGCAAGCTGGAGGTCATATTGATCTATCAAAAAATAGCGTGTTACTGACGAATGAAATCCAGATATAAATCCATGCAGCTACAACCAGTTGATTTTTAATAAAGGTGCCCAAAATATCCATTGTAGAAAAGGCAGTTCCTTTAACAGTGTGCTTTTTTAGAAAAAGATATATATGCGTGTAGAAAAATGAAACTACATGCCTGCCCCTTATCCTGGATGGGGGGGGGAGAAATCCTAAATAAATTAAATGTCTAAACATAAGGCCTAAAACTCTGAAAGTGTTAGAGGAATAACAGAAAAATACTTCAAGAAGTGTTCATAGGTAAGGATTCCATGTATTCAAGGAAATAAGACCAACAAACAATAACTTTGCCATCATGAAATTAAAAAGTTTCAGAAAAAGGGTCTGATTAATTGAGGTAAAATGTACCCTTTAAAAAGGTACAAAATATTTTCCAGCTATACATTCAAAAGAGGAGGGCTGATTTCTGTGAGTTCAAGGCCAGCCTGTTCTATAGAGCTAGTTCTAGGACAGGCTCCAAAGCAAAACAGAGAAACCCTGATTCGAACCCCTGCCCACACTTCCCCACCCAAAAAAAAAAAAAAAAATCCCTCAAGTATTAAAACAAAACAAGCAAGTCAGTGAAAAAGGAGGCCATGGAACTGAATAGAGAATGCTCAAAGAAGAAGTGCAAATGGCCAATAAATATTTAGCTTTAACCTATTTCACATTCGTAGCTATTAGGGAAATGCAAATTAAATCTCACCATAGTCAGAATGATCATCATTAAGAAAATGATTGACAAATGCTGGTGAAGATGTACAGAAAGGAAAAAAGAAAAAAAAATTTTTTTGTCCTCTGTGTAGCTTTGTACCTTTGTAGTACCAGGCTGTCCTTGAACTCACAGAGATCTGTCTGCTTCTGCCTCCTGAGTGCTGGCATTAAGTGTGCCACCACCACCTGGCTGCAAGAAAAATTCTTATTCATTATTAGTGGAAATGTAATATGGACTATGGAAATCAGTTAAGTTCCTCAAGATGCTTAAAATACAACTAACATATGACCCTGCTATACCACTCCTGGACACACACTCAAAGAAATTTTCAAACTAAAGAGATGTTTGTTTATCCATATTTATTGCTATTCCATTCATGTTAAAAAAAAACAGATAACATATCCATCAAATGATAGTGGATAATGAAATTGTGGTACGTAGACACAATATACATATTGTGGTACATATATACAAAGCAGTTTTAAAAAAGAAAATATGAAATTATAAAACAAACAGGTGAATGGAAGTAGAAATATTAAGCGAGGGAATCCAGATTCAGAAAGATAAACACCTCATTTTCTCTCTTATATGTGTACCCTAGTTTCTAATTTTTTATGTATTTGTATTTAGATGAGAAGGGATGCATGTATGTATGTACATGTCACAAAGGGAGGGATGTGAGAAATAATCAAACACAGGTGATATGTAAGTAAAAGGGGAACACTGGGGATCAAAAGGTTAAAACGGGGGTAGGGAAGCAAGGAGATAAGAGAGGCAGGGGTTGTAGCATGGGTACACTGAAACTGAACATGTATGAAGGAAGCCTGCTACATTGTAAGATAAATAACAAATAAATTCTCACACACACACACACACATTTTGTTCTAGAAATAGATTTATCTGCTGGAACCTATACTTGTTCCTAATAGTGTATCTATAAAAATCTTACCAACATACTGCTACAAACACCTATGATTCAAACTGTTCAGACACTGGGTTAATTTCTGATACAATGTAAATATCCTTAAGGTGTCAATGCACCTCACTTGCAATCAGATGGGTTGAATCATGGAGTTAATCAAGATCGCTAACTTACTGTTTACTTATTATGAATGAAAGTTTGGTTACGATACTCCATACTCACCTTCCAATTCAATAGAGTCAACTATGGAGCAGGTACCGTGAACCACATAATGGCCAGGACAGATAATAACAGTGTCACCCTCATGGCAGGCATTTATAGCAGACAACACATCACTATGGAACTAGAAAACAACATATTATATAAATATACATCCCCCCCCACAGCCACTTAGGTATTACTTTAATCGCCTTCATGTGCCATGTAAAAATCAATCATCTTTTTAATAGTGCACTTAGCCCAGTGTGTGCTTGTGCATTGCGTTCACTTAAAGAGAACAACAGTGCTCTTACTAATTGGATCTCACAGAAAACTAACTCCAGAAACTTCCTACAAACACCTTGTAGAATTGATGAAAATTTGGAGTTAATCAAAAGCAGTCACTTAGAATAATAATTACTTTTACCTGAATTTCTGTTTCTTCTTCTTTGCAAGACTCCTCACAAAATCTGTCCCTAAACAGAGACCGTAGTAGACCTGTCTTCATGGTGGAGGAAACCACATGGGTAACCTTCTGGCCATTTTGACGAGTGCCCTTGGCTTTGATGACAGTGTTCTTAGGATAACCGAAAAGATATCTTTAAAAAAAAAAAAAACGAAAACTCATCAGTTCTCACTAAGATAGCTAGTAAGATATGCTAAATAATTAAGAATAATGAGAACACATACCTCAACAAAGGGTTCTCAATGAGTTTTAACTTCCGTTTCAAGTATTCAATATCTGAAAACAAATTTATCCCTTCCACCATGAACTTTGCCTGTGCAGTATTAGAATTAGAATTCGTCAAAATACTTCTCAGATTTAAAAATTTGGTGTAACTCTGTTCACATTGAGACAAAAGATCGTGGTAGTCATCAACAAGTCCTGAGGGAACTCGATCTTCAAGTATATCGTAATACCTGAAAGTGTAAAATCAAATTGAAAATGAATTCTCTTTTCTAGAACATTTTCCAATTATTAAGATATGATTTAGTCCCCCGAGACTTTAGCTTATTTTACCATTATTGTTAGCACTCTCTTAGTCTGAAAGCCACCATTTCAGTGTCACTTTTGACCTTTCTATTCTTCCCACTACCCATCAGCCATCTGCAAACTTACAAACTTTGATCTGCATCTGATGGCCTGGGAGTGAGCCATCTTTGCTGAGTAAGTCTCTTATTTCCATCCCATACCCTTCTTTAATTTTCCTTCATGCCCCTGTCATCTGCAAATCCAAAATCCTAATCATAGATCTGTGTTCGTGAACCCTCAACATTTGTAAACCTTTCTTATACTAGCTATAGACATGTAGTTTAGGAACTACCTTTTCCTAGTTCAATTAAACAGACGACCTGCCTGTTACCTGTTACATCTGGCCTTGTTCTAGGAATGCATGTCTGGCATTGCCTCAATCTAAAGAGGGACAGATTTACATACCAGTCATATCCCCCACCCCTGCAAAAAAAAAAAAAAAAAAAAAAAAAAAAAAAAAAAAACACGAATGTGGGATACCATTAAATCTTGAAATTACAGGCACTGAAGAGAGGGAAGAATTCCAAGGCAATATCATAGACCAGATCTTTCACATCACAGAAGGAAAGTTCCCCAAGCTAAGGAAAGATATTCAGTGATAAGAAGAACAAAAAAGACACAAATTACTCAAAACAGGAAAATTAAACACTAAACATCATGTCATAGCCAAAACACTATACAAGACAAAGATGAAAAATATTTAAAAGGTAGAAGGAAGAAGACACAAGTTATATACAAAGGAAAGCCCACCAGAATAACAACTGATTTCTCAATGGAATCTCTGAAAGCTAGAAGAGTCAAGAGCAATACACTATTAAGTTATAAGGAAAAACAAAAAACCCAGGATAGCCAAAACAACCCTATACAATAAAAGAACTTCAGGAGGCATCACCTTCCCTGACTTTAAGCTATACTACAGAGCTATAGTTCTGAAAACACCCTCGTATTGGCATAAAAATAGACAGGTAGACCAATGGAATCAAATTGAAAATCCTGATATTAACCCACACACCCATGAACACCTGATTTTCGACGAAACAGCTAAAATTGTACAATGGGGCAAAGACAGCATCTTCAACAAATGATGCTGGCACACTTGGATGAGGGTGTGTAGAAGACTGCAGATAGACCCATGTCTGTTGCCATGTACAAAACTCAAGTCCAAATGGATCAAAGACCTCAACATCAATCCAGCCACATTGAACCTCTTAGAAGAGAAAGTAGGAGGTACCCTTGAATAAATTGGTATAGGAGACCGCTTCCTGAACATAACTCCAGGGGCACAGACACTGAGAGAAACAATTAATAAATGGGACCTCTTCAAACTTAGAAGCTTCTGTACGGCAAAGGAAACAGTGGACAAGAAGAAACAGCAGCCCACAGACTGGGAAAAGATTTTGGCCAATCCTATATCCAACAAAGGGCTGATCTCCAAAATATACAAAGAACTCAAGAAACTGGTTAATATTCAGTCTCTCAACAATACTGAGGATTGATTCTTAAGGTACTATCTCAGTTGAATATTATTCAGGGAACGGAATATACAAGAATAAGGGTCCAAAAAATATAGGTGTCAAGGGGGGATGGGGAGGAATGAGAAATACAAAAAAAAAAAAAAAAAAAAAAAAAAAAAAAAAAAAAGAACAAATCGTTGGGGTTAGGAGGACTTTCATAAATTGATGACTTATTACAAGCACGTTTATTAACAAGTAGAGCATCTTCTATACTGCTTGCAAGGGGCCAATTGGCCAAGGACAGCAGAATGTTAAATAAGATGTTGGCAAAGAAAACAGAGGAGTCCTTATACCTTAGGACTGATAACCACATTGCTTAAGAAGGGAAAGCCAGGATTCCAGCAGCAAAAAGTAACTCTTTCAAACCTCTGGAATCAGCACCACACTGGGATCTTGTCAAGTTTGCCTCAAGTAAGGACACACAACTAGAGTCTCTATTCCCCTTTCTTTTTCATTGGGATCTCTGAGGATGCCCTGGGTTGGTTGGGATTCCAACAATTCAGATTTACAAGTTTTTAACCTAGATATTCTCAAAATTCTACTTTTAAGTTAAATTTAGTTCTTAAGTAGAGCCAGGCATAGTGGCACACAGGCCTATTACCACAATACTAGTGAGAATGAGGTAGGACAATCACAAGTTCAAAGCCAAGATGGTCTATAGAGTCTATCTCAAAACAAAACAGAAGTGTTCTCTCTCTCTCTCTCTCTCTCTCTCTCTCTCTCTCTCTCTCTCTCTGCAGGTTGTGTGTTTTCCCCTACAAGGTTTATTTAATAAATTGTCATGATCGCACTACTTGTACATGAGAAGCTCCTGTATACCTACCACATCAGTAATAAATACTTACAATCTCAGTCGAGGTTCAACACATCGGACAAAATAATCATACTCATCCTCCTCTTCTTCATCCCAACTTCTCCAAATGTTTTTGTAGAAAAACCTGCAAAGAAACTTAAGCTTAATATCAATCAAATTCAACTACTGGCTCAAAAGGTGGGTAATGTGATTTGAATATGATATGTTCCCCATAGGCTCATGTGGGTGAACACTTGGTCTCCAGCACGTAGCAATGTTTCGGAAGGTTCAGAAATGTTTAGGGGATGGAGTCTTGATGAAAGTGATACTGGGCACAAGGCTTTATAAGGTTTTATCATGGCTGTACTAGCAGTCATTTCTCTGCTTCCATTCTACCTATTCAAGTTTTGGGGATGGCATCATACTGCTGCTACCTTGCTTATTATGATGGTCTAGGTTCCTCTCTGGAGCAGTAAGATAAAAGAAACCCTTTCTTTGGTTGTTTTTGTTGGGGTATTGTGTCTTAACAATAGGATATAAAACTTTAGTTTTATAGATCAGAAAGGATTTTATGTTTTAAGAGCTGGAATTCTGGAGAGGTAAAAGATAAAAAGGAAATCAAAGAAGTCCTACCAAGTAACAAATCAAGTACACAATATTTTCTAAGATAAGTCAATATGGGGTATTTGCTACAGCTGGTAAGTCATAAAATAAAGACCCTTAAGTCAGTAAGTTTATCTACAATATTGTAATGCTGTTGTTAAAGTGATTCGTTCTTGTTTTTTCAAGGGGGTGGGGTGGGTTTTTTTGTTATTGTTGTTTTTTGTTTGTTTGTTTGTTTGTTTGTTTTTGGTCTGTCTAGTTTTTTTGAGATAAAATTATAATCTGTAGACCCAGCTGGCTTTGAACCCCTAATTCTGCCTCTACAGGTGTGTGTCACCAGCAGCCCTGGCAAGATTTCCATTGTATAACAACTATTTACTGATGGCAGTGTCATTTGTTTAGGCAGTAAAGAAACTGGGGTTTAAATGTTGTTTTAAATGTATTATTCCAGGTGAGATGCTGACTTTGCCAAAGGATTGATGTCTAGTGGGCAGATCAATGTAGCCTTTCCCTCTTCCGGGGACAAGGGATAAAGATATAACAGACAGATATTAATCTAAGACTTACTGTTTTTAATTAAAGCAGTGAATGAGATGATGCAGGGACTTCATATATAGAGAGAGCATTAGATCCCAACCATGGCTACACATTACAGTCCCCTGGTATACTGCCAAGACTTTTATTTCCTACTTGGGTGGTGGTATATACTTTTAGTCTCAGTCCTTGGCAGGCAGAAACAAGTAGGTCTCTGTGAATCTGAGGTCAGTATGGTCTACATATTAAGTTCCAGGTCAGCAAGGGTTATATAGTGAGTCCATCTCAACAAAAACAACAACAACAACAACAACAACAACAAAAAAAAACTTAATCAAAACCAATAAATCAGATTCTCAGAGGGAAGAGAAACATCTGTATTTTCTTTAAAGCTTCCAAGACATTAACATACTATGGAAAAATTTCCAAACATATAATAAAAGAAATCACAGACAATATGAATAGCAGCTTCAAAATTTATCAATTCACAGGTAATTTTTTCCCATTTCTACCAACTCACTTACACCCCTTCTCTTCTATATCATGTTCATACTTGATTAGTTTTTACACCAATCTCAGATAAACTATGTACTCATTTTTAGCACGTATTTTTAAAGCGCTTCTGCAAACTTTAAATCCCTTCCATGTAAACTCCCAATTTTATATGCTCTTTCAAATTCACTTGTAGTATGTTGGTCAAATGCCTTCCGCTTTTCCACCTGGTAAATAAATTTCATATCTAGCTCAATTATCTATACCAACACAGTATCAGGTACTTATGTAAGACTCACTATGCATGTTTTTTTTCTTTTTGCCATCTTTTATTGAGCTATACATTTTCCCCTACTACCTGCAGCCTATGCTCCAAATTTACAGAGTTTACTCTTTCAAAGCAGAAAGCTCCTAGAAGGAGTCTCAGCTTCCCAAAGGACTCATACATCACCTTCCTAGATGCTTGAGTTCCAGCTGCTCTACTCCTCAGTTACTATCCCGTCTAACTAAATGTTTGCTTTCTAGTACAAGCACTCATGCTTGGTTTACTGACCTCCCTATTCCATCCCCCTGCTTTTGTTTTATAAAAAAGAAGCCCAAATGAACTTTTTAAAACACAAAGCTGATCAAATTTCCAAATAATCAATACTCTTAAAGTGTTCTGTTTCTTTTATAGAATGAATTAACTCATTGACAAAGAGCTCTGCACTTTCTGGCCTACAAGAATATCCACTCTGGCATCTCCTAGGACTGTGCTCTGATTGTACTGGCCTTTCAACATCTCAATCTCACTGACATCCTGCACCTGTCTTCCTTGCCTAGTTAACCTCCATGTCACTTTTCCAAGAAACAACCATGGAGTCGTGGTGTGTGTTTGTGTGCGAGCGTGCGAGCGTGCGTGCGTGTGTGTGTGTGTGTGTGTGTGTGTGTGTGTGTGTGTACACCATGGTGCTTATCTTTTTTTTTTTTTTTTTTTTTTTTTTTTTGGTCAGGGCAATCTGTGCATAGTGATACTGGGTATTAGGGAGGACTCAGCAAAATCAGTACTTTTTAGACTATGTAACACCAAACAGTATGACTGATATCACATTACCTAATCTTCCAGTTCCTAGATGGATATGCATCTAATGTTATTATTATTATTATTTCCGGTTGTGAGCCTAGCCTTTAACAGCTGAGCCATTTCTCCAGCCCTGATTTTATTACTCTTAGTATCTTTTCAAATGTATGCTTCTTTGGAATTTTATTTGTGAAAAATAAATACTAGGCTTACTAGTAAAGATTGAGTGTATACACCAGATCCCATTATATTGACATAGGAAAGTGTTAGTTATTTTTACTCTCCACCTTAAACAGGCAAATACAAAGCAAAGAACAAGTTTACTAGCAAGGCTGACTGCACAGAGACTGTATAGAATTTGAAAATAAATGTTTGTATTACTAATACTTTTCTTTTTTACTCAGCAATTTAGACTCAGATTTTAGTGTCCAATTACAGATATTCATAATATAAATCCACTTCAAGCAGCTAAAAGCAACATTATCATCTTTTTTTCTGTCCTGTTACATTCAAAATGTACCAACCACAAGTCTTACCATTCATGACTTGAAACACTGTTGTGGAATAGTCCTTTACACTGTGTGAAGATATGTAACTAACTGGTTTAATAAAAAACTAAATGGTCAATAACGAGTCAGGATTTTCTGGGCAAAGAGAACACTGGGAAGAAGGCAGAATCACAAGCCAGATGTAGAGAAAGCAGGACATGTAGGAAATGAGCTAAGTCATGAGCCATGTGGCAGCACAAATGAATAGAAATAAGTACTTTTAAGTTATAAGAGCTAGTTTCAATCAAGCTTAAGCTATCAGCAGAGCTTTCCTAATTAAAAGTCTCTGTATTGTTTATTTGGAAGCTAGCTGGGGGGACAGAGAAATACTCCCTACAAAAGAGTTTCTAAATCCATGAAAACCAAAGTAAGGCTCCTTCATATTTAGTTAACACTTGAAGAATTTGAATGATAAAGAAGAATTCCATATTCTTTTCAATGGGTTGGAAGTGATGACAAGATGAAATTTTAAGATTTTCCTAGGGTATAGATGTGCAAAGGTAAAGACCTTTCCTAGGGTTTACAAGGACTTACACAACAGAAAAGGACTGGAATTATTTCACTTAATTTACAGTTTTGACCACAAGGATACATTTATCAACATCCCTTTCTACCTGACATGCTCAATTGCAAGTGCCGTCTGGTGAGATTCCTGTGAGTCATCAGACACCACCCATAACTCCTGTAGAGGCAGCTGAGACTCCTCCAGGTCCAAAAACTCCTTCACATTCTCCAAGGTAAAAAGGTTAAACTTAGATTCATGAACACATGGCTCTGCAAGTCTCACTACTGCCTTCAAGGCTGAAAAGTTCACGTTTGTAACCTGAAATTCAAAATAATGTTACTCATTTTAATACCCAGAATCAAAACTATAACATATAAAAAATACGATTTATAACCTAGTCCAGTCACTTTCTACCTCTCCCATCCTGTGCATATGACAGTTTCTAATTTTCAAGGACCCAGAAAGGAGTTGTTCAAACATTTTAACATTACTACTCCTACTATTACTACTACTACTACTACCATTACTACTACTACTATTATTATTATTATTATTATTATTGCCCCTTATATTTATTTTGCTGTACCTCTGCTTTCTGTCTTTAGTACAAAATTTCATTGTATTTTTAATTTTTTTTTCTTATTTTACATATCAATCCCAGTTCCCTCTCCCTCCCATCCCCCACTGCCCCCTCCTCCTCCCATCCCATTCCCTACACACTACACAGGGAGGGAGAGGCCTTTCAGGAGGGATCATCAAAATCATTTAGAGTATGGCCTATGCCTTCCCACCTGTGGTTTTAAAGATGGTTTTATTTCTCCCCTTTGGACTTTCAGCTAATTCTGTTTGTGAACTCTTCATTAGTGGGTAATCTCTTCATGTATTCACATAATCTTGAATTTTCTTATTCCTGGGAGGGAACCCACCCCCCTTTGTTGGTTTTTAATCTTTTGCTCTTTTTTCTTCTCCCCTCTTAACACTTCAAGCTTTCTTTTTTTTTTCGTTTATTTAACCTTGCTTCCCTTGTATTAGTTTCTTCTTTTTGCAGCCTCTCTCCTTATCTCATTAACTTAGCAATATACAGATTTATTCTAAATAATTTTTAACTTCAAAGCACATTCTCCATGATGCATTAGTGAACTTTAAGTATATTTCTATATCTTCTAAGGTCAGTGTTGAACTAGCATAACTGTTCTCACTGATTGGCAGTGGAAACTAAAACCTCAAGAGGAAGCTGTCCATGTAAGATCTCCAAGTAAAACCAGAACATTTATCTAAACCAACAGGTGTACAAATTTCATCACAAAATACACAAGCAAGTGGGGAAAAATTGTATCGGGATGCCTCCAAAATAACACAAACTTTTCAATTACTAAATTCAGACACTAAAATATGTAAAATGTCAGATGACGATGTCAAAAGTTCACTGGTATACGTATGCATTTATACATTTGTGAAAGAACACAGAGAGATTGGCAAGGCTCAGCAGATAAAGGTGCTTGCTTCCACGCTGACTGCCTGAGTTCAATGCCCCGAATCTGCAAGGTGGAAGGATAAAACTGATTTCCACAAACTGCTCTGACTTCCACATGTATACATGCATACGTGTGCGCACACACACAATGAATAGATAATATATGACTTTGTAACAAAGAAACAAGAAAAGAGATCATGAAAAGGGAGGAAAAGATGTTAATGGGGTATAAAATGGAGAGGATAAAGGAATAAAATGAACAGAAAACGGGAGCTGAAAACTAACTTGGGAGGGAGGGAATCATGTAAAAGGGCTTTGTGGGGAGGACAAGAAATGAGAACAAAGTATGTCACACATGTATGAGGATGCTGTGTATTATGAAAACCATCATATAACCTTAAAAATGTCCAGCAATTCCAAGGAGGATTAAAAACAACAATCCGATTAATTCAATTCAGGAGCTGGAGGACAAAGTCAGAAACACAGAGAAAAGCTTGGTAAATGTTTCCATAAGATAATTCAACTTACCTCAACAAGCACCTCAAACACATCAGTGTGCCAGACTGCCCACCATCCAGATGGCTCAAGGACCTTTTCCAAAAAGCTGGCTATGAATTCCTTTACCTCAGATGCCTTACAGTCAGCTACAAATTAAGAATTGGAAATGTATAAATGAAAAGAAGTTAATAGATTGACCTGAGTCCATTTTCTCACAAAAATGACAAACCGAGGACAATCTACTTACAAAATAAAACTGTGAAAAGACCCCCCCTGAACATGGGTCTCAGAGAGAAGGCCTGGGCAGTCTAAGGCACCTCAAACAGTGGAGCCAGGATGTATTCCTGGTGCACAAAAGGACTTTGCGGGCACATCCCCCATGGAGGGATACTCCCTTAACCTAGAGACAGGAAGGAGAGATGGCCTAGTCCCTACTCCAAATGACTTTTCTGATTTTAGATGACCCCTACTGGAGGGTATCACCTTACATGTGGAGTGGGGATGGGGTAGGGTGAGAGGGGATGGTGGTAGGCAGGACATGAGAGGGTAGGAGAAAGCGAGAGAGGGAGGGAAGGAGAGGGAATTGGGATCGATATATAAAATAAAAGTAAAAAAATAAATTATAGTTAAAAAAATATTAAAAAATAAAAGAACTTTCTCACCTAAAATGTAATCTTGATAGGCTCTGAATCTCTCATAAAACAAAAGTTCATTTGTTTGGATAATCTTTGGAAAAATTTTTCCTTCTGGCACAAGAGTGTTTACAGTAGCACCTGGCGAGGTATGACAACTTGGATCATTGCACGGATCTGCATCCTGGAATAAATCTAAAACAATATAATAAATAATACGACAAACTCAACTATCTAGTTATTATATAGTCTTCCGATAATCCAAACAAAATAAAAATAAGGATTCTGAAGACGAATGCCCTACTTAACCTCCCATTATCAGTAATGTCACTAGTTATTAAAGCTTAAACATCTTAAAATCTAAATTTTACTTCAAACAACAACCAGTTAGAAACATTCAGATATTTTTGTTACTACCTGTGATGATTCTGGAAGCCACACAAGTTCTCTTTCAAAGGTAATAGTTATGATATCCAAAAATTTTTAAGTATTTGTAAGAGTCTAAGCCTGTGTGGGGATATGTATACATGAGTACATATGGCCAGAGGCATTAGAACTCCCTGCACCTGGAGTTACAGGCAATTCTAAGTCACCCACTGAAAAAACAGTACTCTCTCTAGGCCCAGCGGTTAAAAACATGGACTATTCTTGCAGAGAACCAGAGTTCAATCCCTAGCACCTGTGTGGCAGCTCACAGGAAATCAAATGCCCTCTTCTGGCCTGTGAAGGCTGTTGCACGTCCATGGTATGCATGAAGCCACACAAGCACACATATATCCCTGAGAAAATTTTACATTAATTTCTACAAAATAGTAATGGAAAGGAACAGCATTCCTACATTCCTTCTCCATACGAGTGTGGAGACTTCTATTTTTCTACACTATGAGACTATTAGTGGCCCCTCAACATATAGAATGAGATTCTTAAGGTTTCCTTGATTAAGACAACGAGGTAGATTTCTAATTCCAGTAACTCTGTGTAAGGCAAGAAGTAGAAAATGTAAACCACCTTAGACATAAGCTATGTGTCATTAGTTTTCATAAGCTATGATAAGACACTAATTCTATGTAATAAGATTTTTATTATTTTTTTTTTTGTAGGCAAAGTGGACAAAGTGATTACTAAATAAATAATGCTAGTGGTAGCTCTTAAGACTTGGCAGAGTGCTTTCCTGAGGTCTCAGGGAAGGTGGGTGAAATTTTTACTAGTTTTTCTCCCCTTTCCTTCCTTTATTTCCTCTGTTTTCTCCTTTCCAGTTTCTTGTCTGTGAGGCCACTAGGATTATTGACTAATGTATACCCAAGGGTCACAGGAGGGTTTGAATGACAATGGTTCCCATAGTCATATATCTGAGAAAAAGCCATATTGACTTCCATAGTGGTTGTATGAATGTGCACTCCCACCAATAATGGAGGATTGTTCCCTGAGGGCCCCTGCATGGACCCCTGAGGCACCTTGAGCAAGCCTGAAGCTGGTGGCTGGAACTCCTTGCCCCAAGGCTGTTGTTGGTACTCTTCCTGTTTTGATAACACACCTGGTGAAAACACACACCTTGTAGGGAGGAGCTAAGCCTAAAATTCCTGTAATTTTTCCACTTTGCTGTAAGTCAGTATTTAAGTCCGTTCTTTCCCCTCAATAAACGGTATTCGGCATTTCTACATTACCATTGAACGAAGGACCCGCTGTCTTGTCTTTATTTCAATCTCTAGTCCTTCGCCAGATTCTTGGAATAGATGGTAGCAAGGGAAACACAGCTCCCCTTGCTCCATATCTCATGAGGATTTAGATATGGAGCAAGGGGAACAACATGAACATGCTTTCAACATGTTTTCCACAAACTATAAACAGTGAATTTCTACATACATTACAGAAACAAACAAACAAACAAAAAACAAAAACAAACAAACTTGGTAATCTACAGTGTTTCTGCTGTAAGACGATAAAAAACACATGAGAGCCGGGTGGTGGTGGCACAGGCTGTTTATCCCAGTACTTGGGAAGCAGAGTCAGGCGGATCTCTGAGTTCAAGACCAGCCTGGTCTGAGTTCCAGAACAGACTCCAAAGCTACAGAGAAACCCTGTCTTGGAAAAAACAAACAAAAACCAAAATAAAACAAAAATAAGAAAAGAAAATAAGAAGAAAAAAAAACCAACAAAACCACCTGAGATAAAAACACAGCATCACTAAATCAATCAAAAAAAGAAAGAAAGAAAGAGAGAAAGAGAGAGAGAGAGAGAGAGAATGACTAATTCAGTGCCCTTAACCATTTGGAATTTGGAGAGTTATGGGAATAAGTTAAATTTCAAAGACTCTAGGGCCTGCTAGACCATCTCTACAATGACTGATCTTAATTGGAAGAATACCTTATCTTTGTTATGCACTTTATTAAAACCATATAGAAAACATGAATTACTGGGAAAGTTCATGGGCACATGATGTAAACCATGAACTAGACCTCAAAATAAAGTCAGAACTTAAATTTCTATTAGCAAGTGAAATGGACAATTTCATTTAAAGACAAGTCCTCCAATGCAGGCACTATAGCTGCCATGTTGAGTTCAACTCCAAATGCAGATTTAAAAGCTCACATAGAAGAAGCTAAACATTGTTCCCCAAAAGACATGAGATCAGAGTATAATTTTTCTACCTGTGAAAATGACACTTTTCTGTGCACACTATCCAACAGTTAGGGTGATCTGACAGCCAAAGGGGGAGGGAGAAACAAAAACAGAAATGGTCCTATCAACACAGAAACATAGTTATCACTTGAGAAGGGGTAAGAGTTTATTCTGGAGCCAAATATGAGTACTGTCTTTGGGGGTGATTATTGCTGTGATGAAACAGTATGACCAAAAGCTACTCGGAGCGGGAAGGGTTTATTTCACTCACAGTTCCTTAGAACAGTTCATCATCAGAAGCAGCCTGGGAAAGAACTCAAGCAGAACAGAAACCTGGAGGCAGGAGTTGATGCAGAGGCCATCAACATGCTTACTGGCATGATCATCATAATAACTTCTTTGGCCTGTTTTCTTAGGAAACCCAGGACAGCCAGCCCAGGAATAGCACTATCCACAATGGGCTGGGCTCTCCCCCATCAAACACTAATCAAGAAAATGTCATACCGATGGAGCTTATGGAGGGATTTTCTCAAATGAGGATCAGTCTTTTCACATAATTCTAGCTTGTGTAAATTTGACATAACATTGGCCAGCATAGTGACCATGATCCAGGAAGATTTAGGTTACCCCAAATTCTATATTTCAACGTTGAAGCAGTTTTGCTAACAACAACAACAACAACAACAACAAAAGAAGTCATAAACCAAGACATTTTTTTTTTTTTTCAAATACTGGTAGAAACCAGAGGCAAGTTAAAGGCAAGCAGAGAACTCTCAGCTATAAACATCACATTCTGATAACATTCTTAGCCCTTTAATTGGTAGAAATTAGGGTGTGTTACATTAATGCGTTCAAAATACTGTTTAGCTGCGCCTGCTAGTCATAGGATGTTAGGTCTGACTTTATCTGTTAACCATGGGATATTAGATCTGACAGAGGTGGGCAACGAGTGATTATTTAAAGTAGCCCAAGATAAACTACAATTAGGGCCCACAACTTCTCCACATCACTGAAGTCATCCAGCTTTTGTACCCATGCTTTAAATACACTTTTACACATATAAGTTAAATATGCCTTTGCACACATAGCTTCTTTCCAGTAGTCCTCATTCACATGGCCATCATCACTGTACACACATCCAAATTGCATGCTTTCACAGCAATGCAGTGATTTGAACTGATCCAATGGCTACTACAGAAATGCCTGAGTAACTACTGAAGACACTGCCACAGAAACCATTGTCATGTTTTTATCCTAGGAGATAGACATGAAAGAACAGTTTACATGTAAACACGAGCCAAGTATTTGTCCTTGATGTAAGAATTTCATTTTTTTCCAAAAAAAAAATACAATAAACTTGTCAAATGGAGACATTCTTGTTTATATTTATCTATTAAGAAATAATTACCACACGAAGGCTGATTTCCATTACCCTACGTAGCTTCCTTAAGTTCTTTTTGTGCTGGTCACTACAACTCCTTTGGCAAAGGTCTCACAAGGATGACCCTTTTCCCTGTCACTCTTGCTCCTAACACTCAAGTACTGGGATCTTTGGTAGGTTCCATCCCCCACGGCTTGTAAGCACAACTTGTCCATATATGCTAGCATAAAAATTTAGTTCCCTCACAGCACTTTAAAGTTAACCCTTTCCATAGCATTGCATTTTTTTTTTTTTTTTTAACATCAGAACTACTGATTGTTTTCTAAGGGGGTAAACTGTACAAAAATAACTTTGGCTTTTCATAAGGCAGGTTAGTAGCAGAATTAAGCCACACCTATGTTTTCTCACCTTAACAGAAGGGATTCCATTACAAGTTGTACCTGAACATGTTAATATAAACTAGCTTTAAGAAATTAACGAAGAAGGGGAGAAATTAACAGGGTCCGGCATGGTGTTTCAGACCTTTAACCCCAGCCAGTACTTGGAAAGCAAGAGGCAGGTGGAAGTCCGAGTTCCAGGCTGGCCTGGTCTACACAGTGAGTTTCAGGTCAGCCTAGGCTGTGTAGAAACCCCTGCCTTAAAACAAAACAAAACAGTAACTGGGAAGTAGCTCAGTGGTAGAGTACTTCCCTAGCATATGAAACAACCTAAGCTGGCAAATAAAAATTAAATTGGGAATAGGATTTCCATGGCCAAATACAAAGAACTTGAGGGTTAGAAGGACTGGCTCACTTCTATTACTGGATTCTACTCCAAACCAACTGTGCAGACTGTGGGCATCATCTGTCCTCAGTGCATGGGACAGATATTTACAGCAGAGTTAAGCTTGTTTTCTAAAAGTGAGAACGTAGCTCATGATCACTTAGTTGCAGGTTAAAGAAAAAGAAAAAAAAAAAATTCTTGGCTCAACACACAAATGAGTACAAAGCTCCCTGTGTTCTTTCGATTCGCGGGATTCCTGGCCAGATCCCACTCCCTCTACTCTCCCGAAGCTGACTCAAGAGGACAGGACGGAGAGCCTAAGGTGGCAACAGTACCTCCTGAGTCAGAGTCGTGAGTGGGTGCAGGTTCCCACAGCCCTCCCAGGACAGCTGACGTGCTCACCTTCCTGCCGGGACTCGGGATCCTCCTGGGCCGCCGAGGTGGGGCTCGCAGGAACCATAACTCCAGGCTCCAGAAGTACTGCACCTTGCAGCAGTTCTCCAGACATTTCAAAAGTACGCGGGCTCGAGCGGCGGCTGCGCACCAGACGCTATGACCCAATCATTCCACAGAGGAGCCTCTTAGGCTTCCTGCAACTACCCTGACAGTGCTACACCACCACCTAGCGGATGGGCGGACTGAGCTGGACCAAGTTCCTGGACTGATCTCTGGTTTAACCAACCAACAAAATCAAGTTCAATGTTGATATAAATTTGAATGATTTCTCGAACCAAACAAACAAACAACAAACAAACAAGCAGAAATGGAGCCTGGATGTTGAAAATACTATAAAAGACAATTAAAATGAGATGAGTATGATAACGCCATCTTGTTTTGTTCTGAGAGTTCTCAGCCCAGTCAGCCTTGGAAATACATATACAATTTCACTGGCCTTGACAATTGTCCAGATGTATTAACTGAAATAATTGGCACGTTATGTCTAAAATAAGTACTATTCTTTGTCAAGAATGAAAGGTCCAAGGTCACGATAATCCTCATCTAACTTTGGTATTTCTTAGTGGTTTTGCCTTAAAAATGAAAGTTTCACTGAGCTTTGGCACCAAGAGATTTTTCAGAGGACCCAGGCTACTCCTGGCCTGCCCTTCACATTATATGTGTTTTTCTGTTATAATTCAAAATATGCTATACCAAAATGTAGGGACCAATATGACAGCTGTCATATTACTTCCAAACTTTGAAGTATCAGCATAATAAAAAATGTGCAAATTAACATGGTTGCAGAAAGGATGAGAGACTTCTTTTAAAATCTGAGCATGATCTTCACAGCTTGATCTCATACATCGGTCAATGATAGTCCCTGGTTTCTTGTTTGGAAAGTGGATATGCAGATTATCTTTAAATGTGTATGGGTTAACTAAATAGAGCACCAAATCCACACTTTCTACTGTCTCCTAATATTTGTTGTGTTTCTCTTCTCTTTTTATTTAGTTTCATGAATATTTTATTTGATTGACATTTGCCATTAGGTAATGAGTTATTTAACTTCTACGAGTTTATACACTTACTGGAGTTGTATTTCTGGCAATCTTATATTAAAATATTCAGATAGGCTACATGGAATCAAAAAGGTGATCGTGGCACTTGGGAATCCCATGCCTTTAATAATAGCACCAGGGCAATGGAAACATGAGTATTATGGCTGGGTGGAGAGAGGTAGATAAGGAAGAGAAGCAGTCAGTTTTAGACAAATGTATCTCCAGCAACATGGAAGAGGCAGCAGTCTAGGATTCTGGTAGAGAGCAGTACAGTTTAGAGATGCAATCAGAGCATGTCATCATCACCCCTTCAACTTCAATCTGAGTATTGGTAGAGGTGAGAAATCGCTTTGCTTCTCTGATCTTTTCAGCTTGAACCCCAATATCTGTTTCTGGGTTTTTATTGCTTGTGTTACGTGAGCCACCATACCGGTGCAAGGAACTAACTAACCCTCTGTATACTCTGGAAGAGCAGCCATCTCAATAGCCCCTACTCTAGATTTTCTAAAGCTGGTACCTCATATTTTATAGGGGGCCGGTATAGAAATATATCCTGAGACTGAGTGTACACTGACTGACAACGAGATCCATCACTGCAAGGAAGGGATTCTCGTTAAGGTGGGTAACATTTTTTTTCCCTCTCTCTCTAAAATTTACAATGATTTTTGCCTAAAAAAGTTATGTTTATTTCTCATGCCGTGTATAAATATTACATATATTTTATGACCACTAATAGTGATTAAAAATCTTCTGGTAGCTGGGTAGTTGTTGGATGACACCTTTAATCCGAGCACTAGGGAGCCAGCCTGCTCTACAGAGTGAGTTCCAGGATCTTCCAGTAATCTTTTGTCATCTTTAAATCTGCATGAATGACAGCAACACTTTGAGCTCACTGCTACGACTTGCTAACATAGCTTTTGACTTCCATTTTTTTGAGCAGTGTGGGAAAACGGTAGAGAATTGATGAAACTTGCGTAATATGACAATTCCTTAACACAACTGTTTTCAATGTCACAGGGCTTACTTACGCATTGTTGTAGTCCCAAAATTTCTCTGATAAATAACATCCTACATAACAATGAAGGTTATGGAGTTGCTGTGGTGACGCCTACAGATGCCCGCGACCTAAAGGAAAATGCCCAAGATGAACTTAGTGGTATGCTATATTTAATAATTTAATTAAAATATTTAAATGTACTTATTTATTGAATACAAAATTACATTTAATTTACAGTATTTCAGCAATAAATTCTGGTGACAACTTTAGTTTTTCTGCTTCCTTAAAAATTGTTGCTGGAAGTCTGGCACTTTAGCTCGACTTGAGAGTGCTTGCCTAACGTGCACAAAAGTGCAGGCCTAGTCCCAACACTTGGGAAGGAAGATCAGACCACAAGGTCATACCTAGCTACGGAGAGTCAGAGATTACTTTTCAAAACAAGACAACAACAAAAACATATTGAATATGCTTGGTCATTAAGATACAGAAGTTCGGTGATGCCATTGTAGAGTCTAAACTTGAAAGAAGAAGCTTTCAGATTTGACTTGTCTTCTTGTAAGTGTGTTAAAGAAAAACAAAAACAAAACAAAAAACAGAGTGGCTTCTGTAGGTATTTGTGAAGGATGAAAGATGGAAAATTTTATGGATGAGAAAATTTCATGCATGGGTAAAAGTAACCACCACCTTTTCTGGCACACAATGGAAATTTGTGATTTTTTTTTTTTAAATAAAATATGAGACATAAAGAAGTGTAAAAGCATTGGTGTGGTGATGGAAATCGTGAGGCTAGTTTAAAGACTAGGCCTCCTTATCATCATTCAGGGTCCATTCCACTCAGGATGCAGCAAGGTAAAATTGAGATGTCTGTTGAAGAGAATCTGACCGGGAAGCTCTGGTGGAAGAAACTAATTCCTATTTCTGAGTTCCTTTTTCGTCAACCCAGCTAGGAAAGAAAATTAAAAAAAAAAAAAAAAAAAAAAAAAAACGTTATACTTTGCATACTAGCATACCAGTGCAGAGCGTAGCAGATAGTAAATGTCCAGGAATGTCTGTCCAGTGACTGAGGTTCTAGGTTGAAGAAGGTCAATGGAGTTTAAAGTTGGTGACCCTGTTAGTGTCAGGAAACTTTGCAAGAAGATTCACTGAGAGAGTCTTATAGTAAAGAATTGGTAAAATCCTGTTATAAACTCTTGGTAGAAAATACTTGAGTCTAAATAGATTGTGTCAGAAATGCCCTTCTGTTGGTTTAGACTGTATATTTAACTTTATTATAATTTGTTTCCACAGACAATAATACAATCCAGGAAAATAGAGAGGTGGATGCCACTGAAGAAGGATTAGATTTGGAAGAAAGGCTTCAGGGTGTTGCTAACAAAATGGAGCTTTCTGCCACAGATGACATTTCTGAACAAGCTAAGGGAAACTGTGAAACTATAACCGAACTGCTTCCTACTTCCACGAAAAAAGGCCAGGTGAAGAAAAGATTGAGCAAACCTGGGATCATAGAAGCTGAGGGCAACATAACGTCAGAGGAGATGTTTGTTGAAATTACGGGAAACCAGTTTAAGCGAAATGGCAAAGGGGGTTTTGGCATATTTCATTACTCGGTACGATGAAATCAGTATCTCACAAAATACATTGTATTTTGAACATGTCCTAAGAAGAATCATGCTGCTTATGTAGTTGACTTCATTTGCTTCATGGCTGTATATTCTTGTAATATGTACTTGCTTGCACTTGTGTAAACTGTGTATTTACTTCTAATTAACTACATACCTTGATAGAAAGCGTTTCTTTGCAAGAAAGCCAGAAAAGCATACAAGATGGCCATAGCTGTAACTCAGTGGTAGAGCGTTAGCCCAACCAACATGCCCAGGAGTGCCCATACCCCAGGTTCAATACCCAGCGTTCCTCCTGGCCTCCCTCACAAAAAAAGAAAGAAACATAATTGGAGATGTCTCATCTAGAAAAGTGGTGCTTTCTGACACGCACAGCTCTCCCATATTGTCTGCTAGTACTTTTTCTTGTAAATACGCGTTAGCATTGAAAATGGAGGAGAACGGAGATGCAAGCGGTGAGGACAAAACAAGCATGCGTGCAGTAGATGTCATGGGTACAGTGTTCCTCTGCTTGTTCGAGATAGGACCCTACCCAGCCATTTCTAACCAGGGACTCATTGTATAGACCAAGCTGGCCTCGGGCTCATATTGACCCACCTGCTTCTGCCTCCTGAGTGCTGGGATTTAAACATTGCCACCATACCTAGCTTGGATGGGATACATTTTTATATTGAAATGTCATCAAATAACATCTAAATAACACCTTATAGGTCTTGAAGCAGAAATTATTCAGAGCCAGGATTGGACATAAATGATTAATAAGAAAAAGCATGTCTTTCACTGTTAGTGTGCTAATCATTCTCTTCCTCTCTTCAAACATCCTGCCCCCTCCCTCCCCCAACCTTTTCTATTTATGAAGACCACAGTAATAATGTGTACCTCTGCTGGTTTAAAAACCGTGGAGTCCTTAATGTCCGTGAGCTTCCGATCCTCCCACCCCTACCTCCCAGATGCTAACACGCTGACTTACAACACTATTGTTTATTTTAGGTGATTCAGGACTTTGGGTGTGCTGGGCAAGCACTCTACCAATCAAAACCCTCAGCCTTCTGATTGGTTTTCAGTAGATGGTGTTGGCTTTTTCTTTTTTTTTTTTTTTTTTTTTGTTTTCTTTTGTATTTCATATAAGTCGAAAGGCCGTATGTGTCATTAATTTTTGCATATTTTTTTTCATGGGGAGATGTGAACAAATCTTTAGTGACAATTGACCAAAGTCATGGTTCCAAACAAGTAAGGAATTAACAGTTGTGTAGATGACCCAAAAGAGCTACATCACTGCCCAGACCCACCCCATCATGAGTGAAAGCTATTTTATCGAGTTCCACTTCTGCCTTGTGTATATTCAAACAATACCACCCCCTTTGCACAGATCTCTTAGAGCTGTGGGGCAAGCGGA